ACAAGGTGCGTTCCTCTAAGTCTTCCTACCAATATGACCAAGTTGCGAAAACAAGGTCAAACAACTTCCAAGAAAGTTATTTTTGTTTTTTTAAACTGAGTATAGATCGGTTGCAACCTAAGTATAGAGCGATGTATTTCACTCGACCCCTGTCACCCGATCTGTACTACTCGAAGCGTTATTTCCCACAAAGTCTCAAGACTCTGATGGTAACATACTCCCGCCTTGCTGAGTAGGCACCTGAAAGCCAGGATTCTTAAGCTGGATGGAAGATTAACTTGAGGCTAAAGTGCCAAAGTCATTTCCATCGTCAAGCCTTTGCTACATGGACCACGTCTATGATAAAACAAGCCTACTGTCAGCCAACTAGCTCTAGTCTCCGCCTTGTATATCCTGTTTCTATCCCTAATACCAAGTCTATAACTTGCTATTCCCTAGTCTCTTGTGTACCAGCCCACAAAAATTGGGGTTCAGCATTGAACCTAATCAAAGCAAGCAGTACCACGACATTTGTGTGGTAGCACACAAGAGAGTAGGACATATGAAGTTAAAGCCATGGTGTTAGCGATAGAAACTGGATAGACGTGGTGTAGACTAGAGCTTTTTGGCTAACAATAGACGTGTTTGATCATAGACGTGGTCCATGTAGCAAAGGCTTTCCCGTGAGAATTATTCAAAGGCTTTAGTTTTAAGGCAAAGTGTAGGGAATAACGCCTCGAGTAACACAGGTGGGGTGGCAGGGTTTGTGGTTCTATACTGAACCTAATCAAAACAAGTATAACCACAACATTTGTGGGTTGGCACATAAGAGACAAGGGCATAGAAAATAATAGACTTAGCACTATGGATAGAAGCACGATAGATGCGGCGTAGAATAGAGCTAGTTGGCTAAGCGTAGATGTGTTTGATCATAGACATGGTCCAGGAAGCAAAGGCTTGGCAATGAGAATTACTCGGGCTCTTTAGCTTCAAGTTAGTCTCCCATACAACTTGAGAATCCTGATTTTTAGGGGCCTAATCAGCGAAGGGGGGTAGGCGTGCCATCAAAAGCTTGAGACAGTGTGGGAAATAACGCTTCGAGTAGCACAGATGGGGTGGTAGGGGTCGAGTGAAATACTTGAATCAAGGAGATATCAGACGGATCCAAAGAAGCAAGAGGGATGCTCTGACAAGACATATGAGAAGAGGACTGCGGGGTGAGGGTGTAAGAAGGCCAGTGCGTGGTTCGGAGAGCTCGCATGAAATCCGCTAAAAAGGGGCACGCCATACCACATTTACATAAGAGATTGTGATAGTTAAGGCGCGATACGAGGATATAGGATTGGTGAATAGTCTTGGGCAGAAGGGAGGATAGCACAATTTTTATCAGAGAATTGGTCAAAGGATCGGGTTCACTTGTATTTTTGATGGGTTGTAGTATGGTGTTAAGACTGGCAAAGCTAACTTGCGATGCTGACTATGATTCTGGTGAAGTGTCTGGGAATGTACTACGTCCACGGTTCAACTCTGAAAATAATCATGCATACTATGGACTCAGGACGAGGTGCCTTCATCTAGGTCTTACTACCAATATGACCAATTTGCGAAAGCAAGGTCAGACAACTTATATAGAGCTCTAATCGAAGATATGAAGACCAAGATTGCGTGACCCTCGATATGTTCGCAGTCTCCTTTCGATTTATAAAGTTGGATTGACTTCGTTTTTGGGAATAGGTCTTGCTGTCAGGG